TCACATTAATACCTACATCCCTACAATTTCTACAAGCATACGTTTACATTAATACGAAATTCCTACATCCCTACATAAGGAACAAACGGACGAACAACGTTAAATTCCTACATCCCTACAATTTCTACGAGCATATGTTCACATTAATACGAAATTCCTACATCCCTACACAAGAAATGCGTTGTAAAATCGAGTAAAATGCATTTCATTGAAAATCATCGACGGGGAAATGTTCTTCAAACACATATTTTGTTATCTGAGGTCACTGATACCAGGTCAGGTCACAGAGGTCAGGTCACGGGGAGGTCACAATATGAAAGTGTCGTGTGATACATGTTTTATGGTCCATTTTACATGACGAATGCGATTATGTGGGTCAGGCAGCCTTAGGGGCCAGCTTAGGTCACGTTTTGGTCAAGGTCAGGTCAAGGTCAGGTCAAGGTCAGGTCAAGGTCAGGTCAAATTAGGTCAAATTTTAAAGTTAATATGTTTGCATAAAATGGGTATCAAATCGATGCAGTTCGTCACGGGAAGTTCAATGGTGGTCTTTGTTTTGCCGTACGTGGTCTAGAATCGCTAAAAATTGAGTTAAAAAATTTGACGTCATCATTTTTGAACAGTTTTTTCGCTATAACTTGGCAAAAAAAAAACGAGATATCGATCTGAAATTTGGTATGTATATAAAAGAGCGCTGGGACTATCACATATATTCCGGTTTTTTGAAATTAGGAAAAATTTTGGATTTTTTTTTTAGTTTTTCTAAAAAAATCAATTTTTTAAGTTTTTAGGGATCAAAAACCCAAAATTTTGAACATCCGAGATAGCAGTTTTGTAGCGTCGCTTTTTGTCTACTAGACCATATAAAGAACTTTGAAATTGCTTGATAACTGTAGATTTGGTGAGCGTTTCAAGATTGCATGTTTTTTGCTCATTTTTGCTCGAACATGACCTCAGTTTGACCTCAATAACTCCTGACCTAAGGTGACCTAAGACTTGAAATTTGGTGTGAAGGTGTCAAATTGATGCCCGGGAAGGTACTGAAAATTTGGCGGCGCTGCGCGCCGCCGTTTTCTTGCTATTCAGGAAAAACCACAGGGGGGGGGGCAAAATGGCCCCCCAACGGGGTGAGGGGACGTGCACAAAAAGAAATAGGAATGTAAATAGAGTGAATAACCTTATGCTCATGTTATATGTTGCAAATTGATATAATTAAAACTAAATTGATATATTTCGATATTGCACCGTCATCAGAATAAGAATAGCAATTAAGCAGCGAAACAAAGCCGATTCAAACGGAATACAAAACGTGCATCTTTTGATATGGTTCTCGTTGGATAAGGTCGATCAGTACGTACAATCATTCAAGTGCGTGTCAACATTTGCACATTATACATGGTAATGCTTTCAAATATACATAATGTACATAATGCCAAAAATACATATACCTTTACAATATACATACTTACATAATAGATGGATACATGGATGGATACATACTTTACATAATAGATAGATACATACATATGCACATACAATATACAATATGCATAATAGATACATACATATTATGTATATACAATATACATAATACACCTAATATATAGTTGTCTATTGTTACTCATACATACACAAACACATGACATATGACAATGTTAAACAATATTGTATTCTACACTGGAGCTACCAGAGCCACTGGGGGTGTGTATGACGGGGGATTGAGGAGAGGCCATGATGAGGTTTGTGTGTTGAGGTGGGGTCGCTGGTTTCTGATTTCACTCATAAGGTTATTCACTCTATTTACATTATTAATCATGCTCAGAAATACCATAGCTTACCTCCAAGAAGAAATAGGAATGTGGAAGGCGGACGCCGGACGTTGAGCACTATATGAGAACGGTCATAAAGAAACACTTTTTTGCAATTTGGACGTTGTCTTACCTGATACATAATTTTACGCAATTATTTTAAATCAACAGCGTCTTTTATGTGCGTTTTTCACAAGCCCCGAATCTTGTGTGGAATTACCTATATATTTTTGTGACTGAACAGGGTGTACGTACATTTGTGATAAATACAAAGTCAAGGGCTTCAGCTAGTGCGTTACTTATGCGCGCTTTTTTTTTTGCTCATTCGGTGAAGTTACGGCTGCAACGACAACTGCACGGCAGCTTACGCTCCATGCGAGCCGCCCCGGTGCGGCAGCCACCGCCGCCCACTCCACGCAGCCGACTGACCGGCCAAGGTCACCGCCCCGTCCGCCGGGAGGGCGGAGCTTAATGGTCACGTGTTTGTGACGTCATGCGTACGCACGGATAGCCTCTACTCCACTGACGGATTTACGGAGCCGATTACGAGGCAATGACAAGTAGGGGAAGTTGGGGCAATGCCGGAGTTGGGGCAAAGCCGAAATTCGAGATATTTCGAAAACCGTAAGACATGGATGCCACCTGTCAGTGATGCTCTGAAGCTTAAGTGACTACAATTATCGCATGTTTGTTACGAGTCGTCATTCGGAATACTTCGGCTGTGAGGGCGCCAAGAGCGTTTTCAAGGTACGCGTTTCTTGTACTACATGCGCCTTTGAAGCTGCATTTCTTACTCATTATGCTACCGTTTGTCTGGCCAATTCGGTCAAGTAATCTTCAGCATGTCTTTGCATAAGTGTGCTGCCTATTTGAAATTTATACGGCACGTTGAAAAGTTATGGGCCTGCAAATGAAAGTATGGCTGGCTGGGGTAATGCCGAAAACGTGCAATTACGCACGTTAAAGCACGCTACGTGGACTTCACTGCTGTAGAATAGCAACGCGAATTTTTAGTCACACAAATTACACTTTCAACCGACACAACGGCCTGTTACCTATAAGGAATTATTTACCTGGCATTTTCTTTTTATATCACACAATTATAACTTCCAGTGTGCACCAAGCGTCCTCAAGCTCTTAAAACGCGTGTCAGCTTTGATAAATTCTGGATAAAGTTTGAGATAAAGTGGCAAAACATCAATGTCGGCATTCCCCGTAGATCATTTCTCCCATTTTCGGCTTTCCCCGCAGTCCGGGGCAACGCCGAAAAAGTCACTTCTTTGATATTTTTAGTTTGTGCGCTTAACGGTATGCAAATTCATCAAATGCGCCTGGTATGTTTGAAAGGCAAAAGACTGGCCTCTCGAATGACGCCAACAAGAATAGCTTATGTTGTCTACCTTGCGTGCTACGGGCGTCAGAAAAAAAGTATTCGGCGTTCCCCCAACTTCCCCTACCCTTATATTTAATATTTTGTTAAGAGACCATATTGACGAAAATTGGCGCTTGAGCTGAAATGTGCATGGTGAAAAGTTGAAACAAATTGGACAAATATTAAAAAATTATCGCCAAAAAACAGGGTCTCATGGGGTCTGAAATGCATAGTAGGTGGCGGGGTCATACGATCCAAGTCAGGACAAGGAATTCTCATAATTATTTTGTTATACTTTTCCCTTTTTAAAGTCATTTAGCGCTATTGCAGAAGTAATAAGCCGGTCCCGTAGCTCAGTTGGTAAGAGCGTTGGACTCCGCGTGGTGAGAGCACGCGTTCCCAGTTACAACAGTCCGGGTTCGAAGCGCGACGGGCGCTTGACATTTATGGGCCTCCTGACAGGTATGGTTGCGGTTGGTGGCAGGCCGTAGCCAGGCAAAGTCAGTGAGGGGACCGGCCGTGCGCGGCTATGTCAATGTGCGCACGTAAAACTTTGGACTCTAAATTCTGCCATAGAACTGGAATTGCGCGATCGGAGGGTAGAGGGCAGGGTCACCGCAACAAGCTTCGCAGCGGTGGCTCTGTCCTTGTGAATCCTTCCTATCAAAAGGTTCGGACTAAATTTATTTAAAAAAAAAAAATCGATTGGCAGCCATTGCAGCCGCCGCATCAGGGTCCGGATCGAGCCAGGGAGCGTATGCCCCGGTGACGTCACCATAGTGTTGCAGATTTGTAACATTAGCGAGCCCGGACGATCTTACCTAACTTATATGGCCTTGATTCAAAGTGACCTGGTGACCTGACCTTAAAATTTAGGAGGTTCAAACTTGCACACCATGTGTAAAATTGATGAGAGAATAGTCGTACCAAATTTCGCGGCGCTACGCGCCGCGGTTTTCCCGCAATCTACGAAAAACATCAGGGGGGGGGGGGGCGGATATCCGCCCACCGTCGGTTCGCGGGTTAACATTAGCCCTACGGGCGTTGCATGGAAAGAATGGGACCAAAAGTCGGCAGTGCCCCCCCCTTAATTGAAGGTGTTCCGCCGCTACTGGCTTACGGTCGCTCTGGTGGAATAAGCCCAAGACTGTGAGATACCGTTGCTGGTGGGATCATTATGATCATCGATGGATCGATGAGTCGGGTGGGGGGGGGGGAGAGGCGGGTGAGAGACTAAACGGGAGATGCTTGGTGTCGAATACCGTAGTGTCCATAGGAAAATTCTCATTTTGAGCGTCATACGCAAGTGTTACATTACAAAGTTGAGACCCCGGTATCGCCAAACATGGGTTCAATAGCCTGCCAAGGGCCATTTCCGCATCAATATATTCTGGAATTGCATGAATTGAAAGTCATTCAATTGTCTTGAAAAGTTCTAGTGCTTCTCAAATTCATGCGGATATCCCAACAGACGCGTGTAAGATATCATTTTCCCCATTGTCACAACAGTACGACCGGGAGTACAGTGTACTCTTCGGAGGGGTCCTGCAGGCTGTCAGGGGCATGTCAACGGCTAAAAACCTCGGTTCCTAGCAAGAAAAAGGTCCAATCATTCATTTGAGAGGCTTCATTACACCCAACTCTAATTCAAAATCTCGTGCGAGCTCGCCAAAAATGCTCCTTTTTACATGAGAAGGCACGAGCGAGTCTATGATGTCGACTGTGGTTGGCGGCCGCCGGGCCGCTTTACGTATCTAGCGAGTGGGTTTTACATAGGGCTGTCCTAGCAGTTTTTATATCTATGCTTTCCATAGAAGTCCTCTATATAGGTACCGTGCATAGACATAAAGACATCTTTTCGTTAAAAAAAATTGGACGCCGGTGAAAACAGGGCGCCGGAGGGCATATTAGTCACGTGACATTTGTAACTTCCACCCTTCAATGGGCCATGCTAAACATCACTTGTAAATTTCACGAACCTTGATCAAATCGCCCCAGGCGCGTTTTCACCGTCGTCCAAAAAATTGTTCAATACCCACCGCCAACCTTGCCGCCAACCTACCGCGACCGACTTAAGCATTTGCGTGGGTAATGTATTAATATGTGTTTTTTGCCAAATGTAGTACATTTAGCCATTTAGGGCATAATCTGACCTGCTTTGAGTAGATGCCCCATTTGGGGCAGAAATTGGGATGCCCGGATTCGGAAGCCAACTGCCCCATTTTGATTTTGGGCAGGATTCGTGCTGCCCCAAACACATCGGGTATTACAGATGGGGAAACTAAGAGGCGAAGATCCAAAAATTGATTGATCAATAGCTATATTTTTTATGACCATATAGGGGCCTAAATGCAGCCTTCGCTACTACGGGTGAAAAATGGTATAATGTGCCTGTAGTTGCGGTATAGCATCCACCTATTGGAGAGAAAAGGCTTCCATTTTCCACTAGCGATTAACAGAATTGATAAAATTGTGCGGATTCACTTCAGAATGGTGATAGGAAAACAGCTTTTCTGCAGGTTCCGGGCGTCACAATTGGCTGGCCATTACAGTCGGGGAAACTGTGGTAAAATCTGCCATTTTTAGCAGTCTGCTATTTTTAACAGAAATCTGCCAAAAATGGGTATGGACCTGCTAAAAATGGGTACACACGTGACGTCATCGTACCCAAATATAGCAGGTTTGGGTACGGACCCATACAAAAACAGATTTGCGCACTACTAGAAGCAAATGGGCATCAAATGCCTGGCAGATTCATGATGAGAATAGTGCTGAGAGTGTATTCTTCTATTTTCTTTCCGATCCGACTATTTTTAATAAGATATTGCCATTGGAAGATGAATGCACTGAAATTTCCTAGAAATTGGTCATTGTTTTAGGTACCGTAAAATGGGGTGTTAAGGGACAGTTTTGAGGTGTTTTGTTATATAACTCAAGAAGGGTTGGAGATAGAAGCATCAAATTGTCAGCATTTTATGTGGAATTTGGTGCTTTACATGCCTGCCACATTAAAGTTTTTAAGATTTATACCTGCATATTATTTTTTATTATTTTTCATCACTGTCCCTTAGCACCCCAATGTGGGGTGTTAAGGGACACCTATATTATTCCAAGAAATGGTCATCAAATGCCCACAATTGGGGTGTGGAAGGGCACACAATTTATTTATTGAAATGTTTTGCATATTCTGTCACAAAACAAGACAGGTTCATTCACCACTAATGACCTTTTTAGCCAATTACGTGTAATGCAGTTTACGCTTGTGGAAAATGTGCTAATTATAAGGTAAACAGAACCAAAAAGTAATCTTCTGTCATCAATAAAAACCCATGTTGAAGCTTGTCACTTGTCATTATGTTGCCCTCTTTGTTTTAGCCTTTTTATGATGACATCACATTTACTTACATCAGTCTCCATTGACCCATCATTGTAAAAGAGAGTGTTGAGATGTTTGTTACATAACTTAAGATGTGTTAGAGATAAAAGCATGAACTTGCCAGCATTTTATGTGGAATTTGGTGTTTTTCATGCCTACTTAATTAAATTATATTCAGATATTATTTTTTATTTTTTCTTCTCTGTTCCTTAGCACCCCACATCCACCTCAAAATATGCATGTATCCGGAAAAGAGGAAGAGGATGATGAAGGAATGGGTGGATTTGCACAAGTTTTTCAGGAAACATGTGCAATACATGTGACAATACACCTATGCATTCATGTTCCCTGTAGATCCACTATACGCTGTTCCGTTTCAAGCTTGCAGCCGAAGTGCCCTGCTGAAAGCAGTGCGTGATTTCTGTATATACAGCTCTTACATTTTAAGACGAAAATTTTTGAGCGGAGGAGCGATCTGCCGAAGAAACTCCGACTGCAAACTTGATATGGAACAGACTATAGTTTATGTGGTACACACAGAGTTTTGGAGATGTTTCAATTTTGTGAAAATGTAGCATGATTTTCAAATCCATTTTTGAACCAAATCACTTGCATGAAAAACCATACCATTTTCTCCTATGGTCAAGAGCAAAACAGTGTCAACTACCACACTGAAGTTTTTATTGAACCTTCTCAAATTAGGAAGTTAATATGACTCAAAGTTTTTCCCATGCAACTGTCCCTTAACACCCCACTGTCCCTTAACCCACGAGCCGCTGGGGGGGGGGGGCATAAAGTTGCCCCCCCCTTTACGTTTTGTGAAATATCTCCGAAACCTGATGAGCTACGAACGTGAAACTTGGCATAGCTTCACATGAATACCTAGGCAATGTTTGAGGAAAGTTTGGTGGTTGTAGCACCTAAGATGACGTCACAGTGACGTCATAAAGTTTTGTCGTTTTCCGATATGGACCGTTTCTGATGACGCTGAGCATGAAACTCGACTGTAAATGAACTAGACAGCACCTGCTGTCATCCTAAAACATCTTAAGCTACACTTCCATCTAGTTTCTGACCAATAATCGGCCCTTTATATTCGGTCCCATATATGTGATGCATCGTGAGGAATATGAGAGTCGCAAATCTATAATTTCCCTTATGACGTCACTGTGACGTCATTTCAAATGGGATCGACACCAAATTTGGACACAACCTCGGCTAGGTATTCAGGAAGATGTGTGCAAAGTTTCGCTTCTCGATCTCTTCGCGTTGCGACGATATCGTCGCAGAAGCAAAGGGGGGGGGGGCAACTTTATGCCCCCCCCCAGCGGCCGGCGGGTGGCGCGGAGGCCCAGCGGCCGCCGGGTTAACACCCCATTTTACGGTATTTTCTGTTTTTTCTCTTAAGAATAGACAGAAAATAATGTTGAAAACAAAATCTAGCAAAAAATACACAAGGTTGAGATTCATTACTATACTCTGTTCTGTTTCAAGCTTGCGCCGAAGTGCTCTGCTGAAAGCAGTGCGTGATTTCTGTATATACAGCTCTTAACCCGCGCACCGACGGGGGTCTGCGCCAACTTAGTACCGACGGGGGGGGGGGGGGCGGATGACCGCCCCCCCCTGAGATCTCGAGAACGAAGCAAGATAGCGACAAGCGGTAAACGGCATCGGATACGCATGGTCAAGATCTACAATTTTTACAAAGGTCATTTTCAGGTCAGGTCAAAGATGACGTCACAGGGGTCGAAAAAGTCAAAATGGCGGCGCTAAATATGGAGAGAGTTTTTCTCGAATAACTTTCGAATTAGTCAAGATAGGAACAAACTAAGGGCATCATCGTGATCCTCTCGTCAATCCGCATCGAATGATATATATGTTGACCTCGAAAGGTCAAGGTCAAAGGTTGACCTCAGGTCACGTGACCTCGAGGTCATCATGTATATCATTCGATGCGTCTTGACGAGCTGAACACAATGAGACCATCCACGCGTCTATATCTTGTTCCTGTACGGAGTTATTGGCCAAAAACCTTTGGTGACCTTTGATGACGTCACATGACCTCACAGCTGCCCAACAGCAAAACAGACCTCAAGGTAGTGAAGGTTGATCGTATATGAAGTCATGTATGGTATATTGGGCCATTCCGACCCGTTTTAGTGGTAAAAACAGGGAGTTGATTTTTCCCCCATTGACTTATAATGGGGAGGTCGCGAAATTGACCTGACCTTAGGTCACCGATATCAAAATTCCGAGATATACAAATTGTAGCTACTAATGACCTAATAACATCCTGCGACTTTCAAAGGCCTCCGACATCTACTGTAGCTCTGGCACGGTGACAAAGTTGCAAAAAAGTGACTTGAGGTTGGGTCATTCAAAGTGACCTGGTGACCTGACCTTGAAAGTTAGGAGGTTCAAACTTGCACACCATGTGTAAAATTGATAAGGGAATAATCATACCAAATTTCGCGGCGCTACGCGCCGCGGTTTTCCCGCTATTCGCGAAAAACCTCAGGGGGGGGGGGGGCGGATATCCGCCCCCCCGTCGGTGCGCGGGTTAAGGCCGGGCTCCACTACGCGTTTTATTACGCGCGTTTTATCCGAGACATCGGTTTTTGCGTGAAATCGGTTTTGCAATTTGTCGGTTTTTGCGTGATATCGTTTTTTGCTTGTCATCCTGAAGCACGTGACATTATTGTTGTCATTAAACCCAGGCTCCACTACGCGGAAAATCACACATATGGTGCTGCGGCCGGACTCCCCTGCTGGGTGAGTGCTGATATGGTGCTGCGGCCGGACTCCCCTGCTGAGTGAATGCTGATATGGTGCTGCGGCCGGAGGCGTGGGCGCAGACCAGTGCTTCCCCCCCGCCCCGCCTGCCACGCCCATTCGTCCGTTTCTCGTGGGCTGTGCGGCCCCTTCTCGCCCCCCCCCCCGTTAACCGCGTCCGCAGGCTTGCCTCGGGTTTCTTGTTTTATACGGTACTTTTTAATAGGTATAAGTCATATACCTAAAACAAGGTTTTATGCTGAAACAGGCACCGTGCTGGAAAGTGACAGCTATGCACAGCGTGAGCGAAGAGACGCATGGATGCTGCGAATGTGAAGGGACATCCCACATGGGTGGCATATGGGATAAACCACATGGGGTATTCATAGCATTTTCACATGGTTACCACATGGACTATATACCACACTGTTACCACGAGGTCTATACCACATGGTAACCACATGGGATACACAACATGGATACCACATGGGCTATACCACATTCCTACCACGTGGGCTATACCATATGGGATACCAACATGGGAACCACGTGGAACCCATATGGGCCTCATGTCGGATAGCCCATATGGTGACCATGTAGAGCCCATGTGCAAAACCAGGTGGGCACCACATGGGTGCCCCATATGGGACCCATATGGAAATATGTGGGTAGCCCATATGGTTGCTGGAATGTGGTTGCATAAGGTTGTGGGTAGCCCATATGGTAACCATGTGGGTGTGTTATCTGGATGGTGAAGGGAAAACTTCAAACCCAGCTGACGTCATTACCTACTCTGCGACCATATCGTGTCTGGTGGGGGTCGTGGTTGCAGGTTTGGAGCGCGGTGGGAGAAGTAGCAAGATGATGCTTTTATGTTCTCAAAATAAGTATGCATAGACTTGCAGCAACATGTACTAGTAATTAACACCAGAATATGTATTTTCCAGATCATGGTTGACGGAAGGGGGAACAACAGCATGCGTCTTGCTGAGGTGAAGGTTTTGGAGCATCCTACTCTGAAGGTATGTTGGACTTTTTATGTGTATTAGGCTGTATCATTATGCACAAGTCATACATCTTTGCCATAAATGCCACATTCAGTTAATATTTCCAAGATTTTTGCTTTCTAATTGTCTGTTACCAATGACCAGCCAACCAGGAGTGCCCCCGCCCTCAGTCCCAGTGACGCACAGTAGACGTTGCGTTAACCAGCGCCCCGTAGGGGCCTAGGGCTATCGGCGGACCCTGCCACCCGTGTGTGTGTGTGTGGGGGGGGGGGGGTAGGGAGGGCGTCTTGGTCCCCCTAAGATCTCTGAAAGATACTGACCGATTTTCAAAATTTAGAAGGGCGTTCGATGGCCTCACCGGGAACTACATTGTGACCCAAGTTCATTGACCTAGGTCCAACCGGTGACTTCACAAGTCAGGTCAAGAGTCACATTTTGCACTGATTACAGGCTTTCTAAGAAATGAGTTGTTATATCGAGTAAAAGACATGCTATTGATATCATCGATGGAGCATTATTCGTCTAACATATATTCTGCTAATTGAGGTCACTGATACCAGAGACTAGTTTTACCAATAGAAAAGCAGCCGCCTGGAATTTATCCCTTAATGCCGTTTCACATACGCAATCCTATGCGAAAGCCCTATCCGCTTACGTTGTGTATCTCTAAAGCTGTAGGCCTGACAGCTCTTCCCGCGAAAGCTTTTTTGGGTCGAAAATGGCAGAAATGACGTGACTCTGACGTCATTAGCGGCCGACCTACCATAGCCTTTGGATTTTTTTTTAGTCACAATGTGTAAAAGCTATTCACGGGAGGGTACTGAAAGTTTGGTGACGATCGGCGCAGCGGTTCTGGAGATATATCGAAAAAATTAAAGGGGGGGGGGGGCAAAAAATGCCCCCCACCGCCTGTAAGGTTAAAGGTCGGGTCACCAGAGGTCATCAAAGATCACATTTCGCCTATGTCAACACTGTTTTACAAATTGGTGCTTAAATCAAGAATGGATAGAGCTACAACGCCGCAAAAAAACGTATTCAATAGTTTAACGTGATGATGAATTTGGCCAATAACATGGCAGTAAGATGTATTTTTATATATATAATAAAATGAGGTGAAAATATAAAACTATATATATATTTTTTTTCTCTATTGGCGATATATATAGCTCTGTATTTTCGGTCTCCTTTTTTAAATAAAAATACATCTTAGTAAGAAAATTAACCTCACTCTCATTCTTCCTAATAGTAAATTCCGGATTCGAAATAAAACAACTTTTTGAGAAGCTTTCGGCATTGCGCCATCATCACCTCTTATCATCAGATAGCTGATGATGGCGCAATGCCGAAAGTTTCTCAAAAAGTTGTTTTATTTCGAATCCGGAATTTACTTTTAGGAAGAATGAGAGTGAGGTTACTTTTCTTACTATTTGTTACAATGTGTCTCAAACTAGCGTTGAAGCATATTCAAAAATACATATTACTGCCATGTTATTGGTCAATTTCATCACCATAGTTATTTGATTATGGTAAAAGCGACCGTTCAATACATCAAACGCATCCAATTGATTTCAATATCTTTTTCTGAGCAATGTTCTCATATGTCACCAAAGCCTAACGGTGTTAATATGCCTCTATAAAATACCACACGGGGCCGGTAAATGGTTAATTGAGGACAGATGTCGTTGTTGGTATTCCGCCCGAGGCCGGAGGCCGAGGGCGGAAAATCAAACAACGATCGAGGTCCTCAAGAATACAGGGTGTCCACGTCATAAGTGTACCCAGACTTTTCTCCGTATTTTATCTTAAAACATCACACTCACAAAAAATTGCCCTCGTTTGAGAGCCAAGGCATTGGCAAAACATTTGCTATGCTTTTCAACTGTGCTCGGCACTCTGCTGAGTGCTGACCAGCGCGTGCCGTCTAGAGCAACTGCTCTATATGAGCCCCTTTGCGTCGGGCCACCGCCGGCAGACGGACCGTGTCATGTTAAGTCCCACAATGCCCCGTGCACTGGGGATCCCACCGCCTAGAAAAAGTTCAGACCATGCCTCCGCACGGCAAGAAAGTATCGGTTTGGGTGGCAATGAGGCATGGAGGGGGCATTATCGGCCCCTTCTTTTCGAAGACGACAGGGGAGAGACGAACACAACACCGTAACGTTAGAACGCTACGTCTCGGCGGCACTGGAACCATTCTGGCGAGAACTGAGGCGGAGACGCGGGATCCGTCGCCCTGAAGAATGGTTTAACAGGACGGGGCGCCGCCTCACACCGCCAAACGGTCGCTGGAATTCCTGGAGGAGCATTTTCCTGACCGTCACATCAGCTTGAAAAGCGCGGTGGAATGGGCTCCCCGCTCGCCCGACCTCAGCCCTCTAGATTTCTTCTTGTGGGGCTTTCTCAAGGACTGTGTGTACGCCGGCAATCCAGGGTCGACCCAGGAGCTGAAAGACGCCATCAGCAACGAGATCCGTCGTCTTCCTTTCCACATGGTTGACCAGGCGATCACCCACCTCCAGTCTGCCGGCGGTGGCCCGACGCAAAGGGGCTACTATAGAGCAGTTGCTCTAGACGGCACGCGCTGCTCAGCAGAGTGCCGAGCGCAGTTGAGAAGCATAGCAAATGTTTTGCCATTGCCTTGGCTCTCAATCGAGGGCAACTGTTCGTGAGTGTGATGTTTTTAAGATAAAATATGGAGAAAAGTCTGGGTACACTTTTGACGTGGACACCCTGTGTATGTATATTACGGACAGGGCCGACGAAATTATTTGGAAACGAGGTTTGCAAAATTGACGGAGGCCCTCGTGCTCCGCACTCGGGCCTCCGTCAATTTTGCAAGCCGAGTTTCCAAATAATTTCGCACGGCTGAGGTCAGAAGATTTCTCCTACATGCTGCATACCTATTAAAAGTTTTGACAGGTTTTGGTGACACTTATAGAATTGTTTTGTCCATAATTTCCTAACAATGATTGCGCTACTGCAGTGGCTGAAGCTTTGAAGGAAATTAATTATTCATAGAAGAAAATGCATCAAAATACCTTATTCTAAACGGAATCGTCTCTGAAAATATTACCTCAGAATGGCACAACCTTTAGTGCCCTGGGCACAACGATTGGATATCCAAGGAACATAATACATGAATGATTTGTCACGACATAAGAACAAGAAGAAGGTATACTATTCCTAGTGTTTAAACGTGAATTTTCCAGTCTTCTTGCAAAAATCTTTGCTTTATATGTGTAATCGTGCTGTGTTGATGCCCTATGGCAAAACGTTCCTACAGTACATTGTATTTTCCATATTTTACATGTTTGTTTCGAGGAAAGGACTATTCAACTATCAAATAATAACTCAATAAATAAATAAACTTAGGCCGAAGGAAACGGTGTACAGTCTGTCTTAAAAGTATCGCGCAAAGTGACGGTGGATCCATCAAGCCTGACTGAGGTAGGGCCTGCTATAATTTGAAAGTCACCGAACCAATTGACCTAGGGAATAGACGAGGGTGTGAATTGCTTCGGTGACTCAAATTTAGTAGGCCCTTCCTCGGTCAGGCATGATAGATCCACCGTCACTTTGCGCGGTACTTTTAAGACAGACTGTATAGTCGGTCAAATATGTATCTTTCCCGGCCGCCAAGTGGCGCTACGGTCTGGATTCGATAGTTGGCTGAGCCCACACCCCAGCTGCCCTGGCGGCTCTGGCGGCCCTGTGACGTCACGCGCGGGGGGCGGAGCTACACCGCGGCCGGCTGGAGAGTGACCGCAGACCAGCACTGGACGGCCTCGCCGCCGGGTGCTCCGGCGGGTCTGGCCGGGAGAGGCGAGCAAGCGGATGCGTTAGGAATCTAACGAATGTGAGGGCAGCGCGATGGTCTAATGATGGCTGTGCTTTCATGCGCCGTGTAAATTGTAGACTGAGTGCTATGAGCTATCAAAGGATTATCTGGTGTTTCAACAGGGGTCGCTGACCTAAAAATTAAGATGGTTGCTCTTGATACGATCGAATGCTTGGTGATATGATGATTAGCGCAAGAGAAATATTTAATCGAATTATGACCGGTTATTTTTTGATAAAGCAAAAACTTTTTTCATTTTTTTTTTGGCATTAACGGGAAAGCGTTAAGCCATATCTACTGAAAATCTTAACCTGCGCCGGGCCGGGGGGGGCGATTTGCTTCCCCCCAGGTTTTTCGCAGATAGCCGAAAAACGGCGGCGTGCAGCGCCACCAAATTTTGCATACCTGTTTTTCCATCTATTGCGCATACTGTGTGCGAATTTTGACCTTATATGACTTAAGGTCAGGTCAACAGGTCGGTTTGAGTGACCTAACGTCACAAAAAGTTTGAACTTGCACCAAAGCTACAACTGTTGACCGATCGATATGAAACTTTCAGGAGTTAGTAAGGGTGACAATATCCACAAAATGTATGTCTCGGATTTTTTTTATCTATGACCTGAGGTCAGGTCAATCTCACAACCTCCCCATTATAAGTCAATGGGATAAATTTCAACTTCATCTGAATGCCACCCGATCCACACAATATATTCACTATTCAGGATCATGGTGTTGCAGGTCCCTGGTCCCGGCATCTCAAACCTAGAGCGACTACACTCAAGTTCAAGCTAACGGTCTCCACTCTCCAATTCAGATACCTATCGAAACCTTTCCGCGACCCGGTGCTGTGGCTCAATCAGTGGGCCAGCTGGCCGCAGACCATACCCGCAGGGCATGAACCTTTGACCATATTAGGTCAACACGCCGTGGCCCCAGCCCGCTCGCCAGGTCCGCGCTCATTGGCCGACGCGGCAACCGCACAACCTGTCCCCTCCCCTCCGTAGTACTCGCAGCGGCCGGCGGATTCAGCCAAGTTACCGACCTGCCCAGCGAGGGGAGGGCCGGCCGGGAAAGATACATATTTGACCGACTATACATATAAAACGAAGATAAGACAACAAGCGATAATGGATTTCGGTTAATAGGCGCATATCTAACCATAATTTTGGCTTTGTAA